ATATATATATATATATAATATATATATTTGTTTAAAAAATGATATGTTAATTTTAAGCCTTTTTAAAGTAAGTTATAAATTAATTATTATACATAATATAAGTATTTATATGGTTGTATTGCTATCAGTCTAGCGTCTGGATCTAAAGCTTTATTTACAAAATGAACATTTTTATTAACTATGAAATGTATAATTTATACATAATTTTCTCTGCCTGTGTTAAAAGACCTGGTTTTCCATTTCGGAAAAATATATCTTGATATTTGTCCATTGAGGTTTTTGAATCAATCTTAGTCTGGCTCCTTGTCTGAGGCCAGTTTACCATGGGAGACCCTTCCAGGGACAAGCGCCCCGGACATCATAGCCCCCAGAAGCATTCTCAGATCCTCCACCTTGTTCAGATGGAAAATCTGCAGCGTGAGTCCACAGAAAAAGTTGGACTGTTCCTTCAGGGTGATGAGTTTTTGCCTCAAGAGGAGGAGTTCAAAGATCTGGGAGTCTTGTTTATGAGTGACGGAACGGGAGACGAGTCGACAGTTTGGTGCCTCTTAAAGCCAAGCGTCAGTTTGTCAAGGTGAAGAAAGACTTGAATGAAGGCAAAACATTTTCTAAGTCACTTTCCATGATCTCAGAACAAAACTCTGGCATCTAAGGAAACAGGCGATGTGCGTTCACTCAAGGCTTTTAAATTCAGTCCAATTTACTCAACAGATGCACAGAGGAGGCCGAGTGGAAAAATAAAATAAACATCTAGATTTAAAATAAAAAATATATATAAACTATCAGTCGTGAACTTTAATTAAAACACAACTTGCAGTTCTGCTGTCCAACTTTTATTCAAAGTTAAACACTCGTTAATTTTTGGTTACATTTTCAGTTTTATTTCAAGGTCTGCAACAAATTACTTATTTTTCTATCGGCCACTACCAGGAGCAGGGGTAGTGGCAGCTGTTGTAGTTGAAGCTGTTGTAGTTGAAGCTGTTGTAGTTGAAGCTGCTGTAGTTGAAGCTGTTGTAGTTGAAGCTGTTGTTGTGGCTGTAGTTGTAGTTTGGAGAGGTAGAAGAAGCTGTTTGAGGCGGTTGAGAAGAAGCTGGACCAGTTGTTGTTGACCTGAAACCCGGTCCTTCAAACGGATCAGCAGTATCATCAGACATTCAGCAGAGGACTCTGTCAGGACTTTAACTGTTGCTCATGTTGGAGTGTTTATTATGAACAGAAAAGACTCTCACCTCGTTCGAGTTAGAGCCAGAACTGGAGTCAGAGCGTGCAAACAGCTGGTGCTCCACCTGGAGAAGGTCAGACGTTTCTCATGGTGTATTTTGTTGAACAATATTAATATGTATATATAGTCACTGAAAATCACAGAGTCTGATAAAGTCACACTCACGGGTTGAGCCTCAGTCAGACTCAGGAGACATCCAACAAGGAGTGCTACCTTCAGCGTGGTTTCAGTCACCTCACCTGCCGGAGCAAAAGGACAAAAATATCTTCACTGAACAAACTGTTTCAAGTAAAAGCATAAATCATTCCACCATTAATTCCCATAGAGAATACTGAACATTGATTTTATATCATTACCAGTGAGTCCTCGCAGCTTCTGTCTCGCAGATGGAGGAGTGTCTTTGAAAGTTGATCTGAATGATGAAAGTCGTCTTTATACAGAAACTATAGATCCAAGATGTTGAGAAACTGTACTCGTTAAGCAATCTTCCACCTCCTTCTAAATATGACTAATTACAGACTAAACCTCCGCCAGCGCAGGATTACAGGGATGAGTGGCACCAGTTCAGCCCAATAATGCCGTCTAACAATACTCCAGAAAAATCAAAAGCTGCATAACCACCCAAGTTCATTCTGCTTCTGTTGAGCTTTTACTGAACGATGAGATGGAAAACTTCTCACGTTTAAAACTTTTCATTAGATTTGCCAAAATCAGGTCTGCAGAAAAGCTTTATAACGTTTACTGATGTGGAAATAAATTAAATTAATATGACATTAAAATGGACTGAATTTAGCTGTAAAATATCGATGTTTTTACAGTTTTCTTGCCTTCTCTTTATCGTTTTAAAAGTCACAGTTCCGATAAAAGTCTTCGGTTTAAACAAATATAGACAGATTAATGTGGAGAAGTTTGAATGGAAAAACTGGTCTGACATCAAAAATCGTTTCAGAAGCGGCTTCTTTTTATTGATTTCTGTTTGCGTCTCAGATTTTCCTTCATGGTTTAGCCGTCGTGGTTGTGGCAGTGGTTGTGCTCAGAAGTCGTTGGAGCAAGGCGTTCCAAAGAATCTGCCTGTAAAGGCTGGATAGATTGAAAAGTGACCCCTGTAGGAAAATCAGCATAATGGTCAGAAGGTGCTCGGGCTTTTATCAGTCCCTGATGTTCACATCTGATCTGTGAAGAACTGAAACGACTCCCACCTCACGAGAGCTGGAGCGGGCCACGCGCTGGTCCTGCTTCACCTGAAAAAACAACAAGGTGCTGCTTTTTAATTTACCGTCATTCACTTCATTATAAACAGTCATTTCTATCCAACCATAAATTAAATTTAAAAAAAGATGAATCTGGAGACAGCAGCACGGTGGTGCATCTGGTAGAGCTGCTGCCTCTCAGCAAGCAGGTCCTTGGTTCAAACCCCGGTCCAGGGGCCTTTCTGGGTGGAGTTTGCATGTTCTCTCCGTGCATGCGTGGGTTTTCTCCGGGTACTCCAGTTTCCTCCCACAGACCAAAAACATGCATGTTAGGCTGATTGGTAACTCTAAATTGTCCCTAGGTGTGAGTGAGAGAGAGTGAATGGTTGTTTGTCTCGTTTGTCTCTATGTGTCCCTGTGATGGACTGGAGACCTGTCCAGGGTGTCCCCCGCCCCTCACACAGTGATTGCTGGACATGGGCACCAGCGACCTCCATGACCCAAAAGTAGAAGAAGCGGGTAAAAGATAATGGATGGATGGATGAATCTGGAGACTGTTTATGAACATTTAATTTGACTTTTTGTTCCTCGCAGACTGAATGTAATGAATATTTCACTTTGACGTCCTCTGCTTGTTAATGTACATCCATCTCTGTTTCTAACTTCTGTAAAACTTCATAAACAAACTGTTTCATAAGAGCACAGTTTAAGTTTTGTGAGGTAAATATTACAAAAACGATACTGGGATTTTTTTAACACACGGGATTTTAGTTAAAATCTCACACTGTTTTTGAACAGCAAAGCATTTCACTACAATATTACTACATTTACTTATTAATGTTAAAATATTTTTAATTTTGTTCTTGTCTATGTGACAAACTAATTTCTATCAGGAGATAATAATAATAATAATAATAATTTATTTATAAAGCCCTTTAAAACAACCACAGCTGCAACAAAGTGCTGTACACTTAAAATCAAGAAAATTTAAAACATAAAAATAAAACAATTATGATCAATTAAAACAATAAAAACAATACAGAGGGGGCATCTTTCTTTTTAAATTGATTTTTTTTTTCTTTTACCAGTGTCAGAATGTATTTTAGATGTGAGAAGGATCATAAAGAGCGTTAATATTTTTACTGACAGCAATTTTCAAAGTGTGTTTGCAGACCTAATGGATCAAGAAGCAAAGCGAGAAATAAAGATAGTGTTAATGAAAAAGAGACTTACAGGTTGAGCCACAGTGAGGCTCAGCAGGCATCCAAGAAGAAGAACTACCTTCAGCATGGCTGCACTCATCATACCTGCTGGAGCAAAATAAATCATCAGGTCTTAAATTAATCATTTGTCAAAGTGAATAAAAAAAGTCCACCACACCATCATTTAATTACCGTCAAGTCTCCTCTGCTTCAACGAGCTTCCAGACACCGTAAAGTGACTTTAAATTCAGGACTCCTCTTTTATAGAGAACGTGACGGCTTGTTGTTCAGCAACTGATCTTTAAGAAACCGTCCGCCTTTAAACCTCAGAGGATTAAAAATTATTTGAGTGGAGACATAATGACGAGTAACAAAAACAGAAAGCACAGCTGGACACGGTCAAGAGAGGTGGATAAAACAGGTTCTAACGAGGAACAATGTGGTTTTGTGTGGGTTCTCTGTCTCAGTATCAACAAGGTGGTAAACAACATGCGGACATTTTGTGATTTAAAAAAAAAACAAGGGGCTTTGTGGGTTTGCAACATGCAACAGTTTTTAATTTCTGCGTGTCTTCACTCGTTTGTGGCAACACATTTGAAACAAAATGATATCTACATCATGATCATCATGATCTGATTAGCAGAAAGTGTCTTTCTAATTACTTTTGCAACTGACAAAAAAAAGTCACAGAAGGTAAAACCTTAATGTGAGAACATTCTGAGTTTGAAATCAAATGAAAACTTTGACATGTAACAAAAACAATATCAAATCATTACGCAACATCTGTCCTATTCTTATGTGGGAGTTGCAAATTGATGCACCTGCCTGACAATAAGATTTTTTTTTAATTGGATAAATAATACTTCTGCAAAAACACTCCAAACTCATTAACATAAATCAGAAAACGATTATTGCTTTGACTGATTCTAAAAACTTAAAACTAAACTAAACATCTAGGCTTGACAGCAGTCATATCTTGCACAATGCAAGAGAATGACTTTTGTCTCGTACACCTTCATCCAAAACCAAACATTTTTATTTGTTGTTGTTTATTGTCCACCTGGCCCTTATTCTCAGTTTTGTCTAGATTTTCAGACTTTCTATTTGACCTATTATTTAATACTGATAAAGTAATGGTGGATTTTAATAATCGTGTAGATGCTGAACATGATAGTTTAAACATAGCCTTTAGTAATTTAATAAAGTCAACTGATTTTAACCAAACCTTGTTATTCTCAACATCTCACTCTTGATCTGGTTCTGACATATAGCATAGAGATTAAATACTTATTAATGCATCATCAAAATCCTGTTCTGTCTGGCCATTTATTAATAATCTTTGAGTTTACATTAAATGACTACACAGCCACTGAGAGTAAATTTCATTATGGTCGGTGTTCAGAGAACGCTGTAATCAAATTTAAAGAATCTCTTCCATCAATGTTTTCCTCTGTCTTGCAGAGTAATACAATAGAGAGCAGTTACTTAGGTGATCTTGTTGATAATTTTACAATTTCAATGCAAACTTCACTTGATGAAATTGCCCCGCTGAAAAAGAAAGTGACCAATCAGAGGAAGACGGCTCCTTGGTTCACTTCTGAGTTACGTACTTTAAAACAGGCATCTAGAAATCTGGAAAGAAAATGGCACTCCACTAACATGGAAGAATTTTATTTAACTTGGAGAGATAGCCTGCTAACATATAAGAAAGCTCTCTGTAAAGCTAGAATCGTATATTTGGACATACATAAACTGGCTGAAGATTGGGGGGGTGGGGACACAGTTCTGTGAATTTGGCTGAACTGATAAGGCTATAAAACCAAGGTGAAAATGCAGCTTGGGGCAGATTTGGTGGGAGTTCTGGTTCTGCCAGCCATACTCTCTCTCTCCCACAGCTGCAGCAGGTTCCTAATCAGCAGTGTTGGGAATGTTACTTTTAAAAAGTAATTAATTATAGTTACTAGTTACTTCTCCCAAAAAGTAACTGAGTTAGTAACTGAATTACTCCCCTATAAAAGTAATTAGTTACCAGGGAAAGTAACTAAAGTAACTATTGTTTGTTTGTTTGGTTTAAGTTGAGATATATCTACGAATTTAAAGTAGAATTGCAAAGACAAGTACTTAACACAAAACTTTTAATACTTACTGCACCTCAACAGAACATGACTGGTTGACATACTATACTTCAAGTTTTTTCTTCATTACAAAAATACAGTTTAACAAAATAACATAACAATTGTGTTTTTAGCTTTATGTACACACTGTACTGTTCAAGTGTTTTCTTAGAAATAAAAGTAAACAGTTAAAATAAGTGTTTTAACTCTGTAGTGTAAAATAAAATCAAACCCTCACACAACTGGTTCTTCAAGTATTTTCTTAAAAACAAAATAACCATTTTAACAATACGAAGTACTTTTAAAACAGTACTGAAAATCTGAATTACCTGAACAAACCCAACATTAGCTACTAAACTATCCATGCATAGATGGATTCATTTATCCACTCAGTCAACCCAGTCATCTGCTGACCATCTTACCCCTTAAACCAGTGATTGTATCTTAGAAGTAGAAGCCTTTCAAACTTCTGGTCAGAAAGTCTGTTCCTCTTTGGAGTGAAGACAAGCTTCCCTAAGCTAAACAGTCTTTCCACAGGGGCACTAGATGGAGTGGCTGCATTGTATTTGAGTGAAATTTTCTTTACAAGTGGAAATCCATTAAGACTGTCCATCCCTTGTGCTCCTGATTTGAAATAATCAGCAACTTGGCTTTCAGCAGTAGCAGAGGTGTCATCCTCATCCTCAAAGGAGAAGAACTCATCCTCCATGGCTGACTCAGTGCATGCTGGTGTGATGGTAGTACCTGTTCGCTGGTCTTCATTTTGAGCACTTTTCCGGCACTCTGCTAGCAGACTTGCCTTGGCCTTGTCCTTCCTGTCCTGCATCCGCAGCCAACGTAGTTTAAACTTGGGCAGAGTCACAGCAGCCAAGACGGCATTCTCACTTTCCAGCACCTCTGCAAATCTTGTTTTGATAGCCTGCAATGATATACAAAGTAAATATTATACTGACTATCCATACACACACACACACAGCATTACACATTGTAAGTTTACAAATATATTTAATTTTACATTGTATCTTTTCATTATGTGTTTAAAAATATATATTAGTTCTTACTGTAACAATTGCCTCTGGAAGGTCAACGAGGATTTGCAGACCACTCTTCAGGTCCAGGGTCTTCAACATCAATGTCTCCAGTGTGGGTAGGAGTGTGCCATGGAAACAGTTGTCTTCTCCCTGAAGTATGTCTAAGGCTACTGTTAGTGGCTTCATTACCATACAGTATTCCTTGAGGAACTGATGCTCCCGTTCTGTGATGGATTTCAAAACAAACTCGGAAGAGATGGTGTTCAGTGCAACTATAGGGATCTCACAGATGCGAGCAAGGGCATCATAAAACGAGTTCCATCTTGTACTGCAAGGGACTAGCAGCTTCCTTGCGATTACATCATCAACAGTCTCTGCAGCCACAGTTGAACGGCTAGCCTTGTTCCATAAAGCTGTGCATTTGGTTGTAGCACTCCTGTATATTGCTTTTGTTTCTGGTCTTGACAGTATCCACTTGTCAACATCAGTACATGAAACAAGGTTTAAAGTGTGTGATGCACATCTCTGATGTGGTGGCAAAGTAATTACATCATCATTATCATCATCACCAACACTGTTTTGCAAGACATCATTAATGTTCACAAATGTCACCTCATCTTCATCATCATCAGACTCATCATCCTCCACAGGCTGGTACTTCTTGAAGGCTTTGACAAAATTAGAGCCATTATCCGTGACAGTTGATGTTATTTTGTGGGTTATGCCATAGAATGAGTGAATGTTGTCAAGCTCAGTTGCAATACTGTCATGTGTATGACGACCTTTAAATCGTCTGCATGCCAGGGCTGCTTTTCTTCGTTCCATGCTTTGTGGATGTATCCAGTGGGCAGTTACGCCAAGATAACTTTTATTATGTGCAGTCCAAATGTCTGCAGTAGTAGAGACATATTCTAATTCTTCAAATCCAGTCTTCAGCTCGGCATTCATTTTAGCGTACTCAGCATCTATGTATTTAGAAAATGTCTTTCTGCATGGAGGACCGACGCCTGCTCTCCCCGGTATTTTGCCAATAAGGGTTCTGAATGAGTCTGAGTCAACTGTTGATAATAGGAGCATGTTTTCAACAACATACCTGCCTATCAATCGGTTTAGTTCATTCTGCGTCACAAGTTTCTGTGAAGCTGGAGCAAAAAAATCCACCGTTAACTGCTTGGACGGCGTAGCTCCGCGTTCTTCTTCGTTAGCAGAGCTCACGTTAGCCACACCTGGTCTGCTATCATCATCAGTACTGTCAACAGCAGTGTTTTTAGCCACGAGTTTTGTTGAACCATGTGCAGTTGTGAGATGCTTCATCAGATTAGAGTTGCTTACGACGGACGTAGACAAACACTTCGCTCCGGGACATAATGTACACTTCACACTCACGTTCTTGCCTTTTACCTCAAGGAGAGTAAAGTAGTGTCTGTATTTCCACTTTGAAAACGCCAGCTTTCCCTCCGGACTCGCCATTGCTGCAGGACTTCTGCTAACTTTTCAGATTTGGAGCTGCCTGCAGCGTGTGGTTTGCGAGTGAACTGAACAACAAAACCTCTGATTGGCTTACCTCTCTTTACCTGTTACTCTACCTTAGCCAATCATCATCATCCTTTATATGATTGTTTCACCCCTCCCTCCTACCCTCACCAAGGAAAAAAAGTAAACAAACAGCTTACGACAAAATAACGTACCCCATTTAGTGGTTGTAACGGTAACGGCGTTGTAACGATAGACATAGTAACGACTTAGAGTACCCGTTAATGAAAAAAATAACGCCGTTTGTAACGCCGTTTATTTGTACTCCGTTATTCCCATCACTGCTAATCAGCCACCAGTACACACCTGAACCTGATTTGAGGGACAACTCTGGAGGAGCATAAGAGCCTCAGCCAGACACTCCTTCAGCGCATGGACATTATCCTATGAATGGGTAGAGGAATCCTCCTCCTTCACCCACAGAAAGTTGTTTGAACTAAGCTGAAGTACCTCTAACTTGAAAAACGTCAGGTTCTTGTGCAGTTACAGTTTGAATCCAGCTGAGTTTGAGCCACGTATAGTGATTTATTTTATTATTACCTTGCTGCAATTCAGTCCT